GCTTTGTTTTTAAGTGAGGTGACAAAGTCTGAACCATACAAGAGAAGTGGAATAACAGATTTGCACTTATTATTGATACTGTTGAAGATTCTCCAGAAGTCACAAGAGCCTAATTTTTGTGATGAAATACGAGATTTTATGACCTGAGAATAGTGGGCTTTAGCATTAGACAAAACGTTTTTACAATGATTTTTAGAAGTAATAAACAGACGTCTGTTTTCTGGAGAAATGTTTTTCTGATAGATATGAATATAGGATTTCGATTGGAAATTGCAGCAGCAAAATGTAAGGAAAACCATGGAGAAGAGTGAGGCTTAATCTGGAATCATCGAGAGGGAATAAAAGACTCCATGCCAGCCTAAATCTATGAAGTTATGTAAGAAGCACATTTGTCAGCAGGAAGTTGAAAGATTTCTACCCAAGGGCCATCACAAAGAAAATCACAGAAAGAGTCGCAGTCAGCTCTTTAAGGTAGTTGTAAGAGGAACAATGATATGGGGATTCTAGTTAATAGTTTTAGAAAGATCAAACTGTGATCAGAAGCACCTTAAGGGTGAATGTGAAGAAACTGAGCACTGACTAGGATCAGAAATAAGACATAAGTCGAGTAGAAAAGGTAAATGATTTGAGTTGTCTAGAAAGCGAGTTGGAAAGTTGACCAAGTTGAGGGTTTTAATACCAGCAGAGTCACTGACACTAGAGCCAAGCCATTCAGTGTGATGAGCATTAAAGTCACCAACAACAACGATATTGGCTGATGAATAAAGAGAGAGGGCTTGGTCGATATGATTATGATTTTAAAAATGACATCGCAAAGAGAGTTGTTAAAATAATCATTTAAAAAAAATAGAAATTCAATAAATAATTCATTCAACAAATTAGTTAAACAAAAAATGAATAAAAAATGAATAAAATTAGTTAAACAAAAAAAAATAAAATGAATAAAAAAGTAAACAAAAATTCCCAGATGGCTAACATATGTTTTATGCTGATGGTCGCCATGTGGTTCTTACGGTTGCTATAGCTCCCAGTTTATTATCGGAGGTAATTTATTTTATGGCCATCATAAAGACTAACTATCGATTTATTTTTTGTAAATGCAATGCATTTTAGTAAAGCTGTACCGAGCAGTGAACGCCTTAAGGATGAATAATAAGTTTAAAAGAGTTTAGCAGAGTGAGACAAAAGTACAAAAGGACAGATGTCTTTTTGTACCTTTGTCTCACTCTGCTAAAAACAAAGAGCCTCAGAGTAGAAAAATAATAAAAGCTGATATATAGTAAATATAACAAAATGCGTTACTGCATTGGCAGTTAGCACAAAAGCAATTTTTTTCAATTGTGCAATAAAAAACAAAAAATGGCATTGAATTGCAGGCGGGTTTTAAAATTTTTAAAGCTTCGAGATAAAGGAGAGCGATATTAAATAATAATTAAATGAGAATTAAAAGAGAATTAAAAAGAAATTAAAAGAAAATTAAAAGAGAATTTGGTGAACTTTGAAAGAGATAAGATTCAACAGAAGAAAAGTTACTTTGAAGACTACGAAAATTAGTTAATGATAGGTTTAGAGAATTTGGTGATGACAATGGTTTTTTGTGTTTTTTAGTTTTTGGTACTTTATTCATTTTTTAAATTTGTTAAAGAACTTGACTCAAAGCATAGGCAGTACTCAGTACACTGTTTAATAGCCCAAATAATTGCCTCATTACTAATAGGAAACCCTAAGCCATAACAAAGGGCTCCAAATGTGGCCTTGACAATGCACACCAAAATTATGAACAGGGACACCATCCATGCGCAACATGACACTGTTAATACTTTGATATTTTTCACCTGTTGATAGAATCAGCCTCTCTGAGAGCTAACTACTACAGAGTTTGGAACCTGACTACCAGCCACCTCAGAACCATAAAACTGAGTTTTAGAGCTGTACCCTCATTAAGAGATAATAGAATGAGTTGCCTAGTCATAAAAGCGGAGACACAAGCAAAACCCATACATTGAGTCAGGAAGATCCAGCATTCAACATTCTAAACTGGAAACAATAAATTACAAATACATCTGCACCTGCCTAATAGTTGAAGAAAGGGGTGTGAGGCTGGTCAACAGATAGAATTTGTTTACCTCTCAAGTCTTTGCATAGGAAGCTTTCTACGATACAGTAGCCGTATGCATTTAATATCTGCCCAAGATGAGTATTTTTATCGAGACACCATCTCTAGCCTTTACTCAACCAAGAGCCCCAAGGCAGGGGGTATTTTAAGTCAGAGTTGGCTTCTCCTAGCCTTTGCCTAAAAAAGTGTATTCTACAAGGCAGCAGGACATAAAGCAGAATGTACTGGGTTACATGTTACCAGTAGCAGAATACTGACAATATTATGACATGGAAACATACATAAATTTAAATGTTCTCAAAACATCTAAAAAGCAGTGGGAAAGTTGTCGAAACTAAATAAAATTTGTGTGGTCAGGAATAAAGTTCAATCACACCTGCTTCCCGACCATGCCTGTTTGTATGTATGTATGTATGTATGTATGTATGTATGTATGTATGTATGTATGTATGTATGTATGTATGTATGTATGTATGTATGTATGTATGTATTTATGTATATATATATATATATATATATATATATATATATATATATATATATATATATATATATATATTTAAACTATTTAAAATGTATTCTACAAAAAGAGTGGTCAATGTTCTTAAAAGAACAGAGCAATTACAAATTAGTAGAAAATCACTTGGCAAAATTTTTTCTCATTTAACACTGTTTCATCAATAAAGACTCATCAGAAATGCTGCTGAGTCTTTATTGATGAAACACAGTGTTAAATATGAAAAAAAAAAAAATATATATATATATATATATAAATATATATATATATATATATATATATATATAAATATATATATATATATATATATATATATATATATATATATATATATATATATATATATATATATATATATATATATATATATATATATATATATATATATATATATATATAGTATATAGTCCTAATGAGGGTACAAGCAGTACCCTCGTTAAATAACAGAAAGAGTTGCATAGCCACGATCCACAAGCAACAAATTATGAGTAGAGTCAAGAAGATCCAACATTCATCATTCTACGCAGGAAAACCTGTAACAGGTTGTTGAACTAAGCAGGAAATAATATGACACAGGTTATTGAGCTCACACTGCACCAGAGATTTAAACAGAGCACAAACATCATAAAGTAACTTACTGGTGAATGAACACTGCGCCAGAGGTTTAGAAAGAATACACTAAGTTTACAGGACAATACACAAAGTAATGTAGAAACTTTCAACAAGACCTTTATCAATTCCTATTGTTTCAGCTAAGGTTTTGTGACATGAATGCCCATCTTGCTGAGTTTGCATCATTGGATGTATCAAAGCTTTTATTTCTTGGAATAACTTTGAAACTTCAATTTATTCTAAATTCTTTGTAGTGAAGCATTTTTAAATTAAAATAAAAACATATATTAACTTTATGCTTTTTTTTGTTCTGGTTTATTTTTTATTCATTTCATCATTTGTTAAGATTTTAATTTTTTTAGTTTAGTTTTGTATTATTATTTTTTAATTTTTATTTCTCTTTCTAGTTTAAAGTTTGTTCATTTTTAATTTTAGTTTAAGTTTAAATTTGTTTATTAAGCGCATTTTTAAAACACGCAAACTAAAAACATGCAGGGAGCAATGGCCATGTTGCTAAAATAAAATATGCATGGTCATATAAAGAGTGTGTGTCTTCTGAGAAGACTTGCCTTTGATAAATTTTTTAGTTAACCTAATAGGATTGAGCTTGGGATAACATTAAAAGGTAACACTATAGTTAAGAGGCCTAAAACAAAGTTACTTTTTGTGTTAAAAAAACACAACAGAGAAAAGTATAAAACAGCATATCAATAAAATAATAAATAATTGTTATGATAATAATTTATAATAATAATAACAGTTACTAATGATAAAAAAATAATTATATTTACAATAAGTTTAATTATTTACAATAAATATAAACATTGTAGATATAATAATGATATTTACAATGAATATTGTAAATATAATTATCATAACTGTAGAATTTACATATTTTCATATCATCATTTAAACAAGCAATTAAAAATATTTTTGTTCTTCATATTAAAACTTGTTCTCAACAATTACAAATGTTTTGTGACTATTTCTTTTGACTATTCAAATATAAACTTAATTATTCTAACTTAAAAAAAACTTATCCACTATTATATTAGAATATTCCACTTTTCATTTTTATGGTTGAAACCAGAAAAAAAATTTCAAAACATCACAAGTCAGAGGTGAGCCACATTTAATTGAAATGCATCATGTTAGACTCTTTATTTACATAATCAAACAAAAGCAGGCAAAACTTATTAGAAAGATTATTCCATAAGCAAAAAGTTTCAGGGCAAGCAAACCTGGGGAAAAATATTCCTGGTTGATAAAAATTTTGCTTCAATTATAATTTTATAATTTTAATTTTTCAACAGTATATTTTTCAACAGTTTATTTTTTTTTGAGTCTTTTTTAAGTAACTTTTAACTTACTTCTAAGTAACAATTAACGTATTCTTATTATATTTGAAAACATTTTTGAGTGATTTCTTGAAAAAGTATAAACCTTTGAAATTATATTTCTATAAGTCGTTGTTTTTCTGTTCTATATATTTCTGTTGTTTTTCAAGTTAGACTTTTCATGGCAAGTAACTTTGAGGTTCAATATTTTATAAAAAAATGGGTATAAAATTTATTATTGGCTGAAATTTTAAATGCATGTTTATATATATACATATATATATATATATATATATATATATATATATATATATATATATATATATATATATATATATATATATATATATATATATATATATATATATATATATATATATATATAATTTATTGAATTTCAAGTTAATTAACATTTTACTTGGTTTGTAACTTCTAAGGTTGCAGGGTTGTAAGTAGTAATGGCTTTAGTTCCAATAGAAAATACACGTTTGTATCTAAAAATTAAAAAAAATTATATACACACCTATTATAAGTTATATTGTTGCCAGCCAGATATTACCTTAACTCTTTTAAATATTTAGTATTATATTTTCATTCATTTTATAAAAATAAAATTAAAACTAAAGTTAAGTCTATGCAAAAGCTGAAAACGAACTTTTTAATTTTTTAATACACAGTAAGAGTTTACATTTTAACTTCATTAGTTACAAAATATAGACAACTGACACGGTATTTAATCATTTGATTTTCAAAATTTTCATATTCGATGAAACTTTATTTACCAAGAACTCCATGTTTCATTATCAAATTAATCTAGACCAAAAAGCAGGGGTGTGGAGTTGTAAAAATAAAGTACTGAACCCAACTCTAATTATTGAAATTTTCAGAGTATGACTCCAACTATGACTCCAAAGCCAAATTTTTGAAAAATTCTTTCAAAAAAATATTACACCATAATTTAAAAATTTTTTTTTCCAAATATATGAAAAGTTCTTTGAATGTTAAATATTTTGTACATGCACGTGCAAAACCGAAAGTTTTACTATTCGCTTAACAAAATTGCGACTCTGAGTTAATTAAAAATGTAGCCTCCAATTGCACAACTCCGACTCCACAGCCCTGCCAAAAAGATCAAATGTGTCAACTTATCTAAAAATGGAACAGATAAGAAACATCAATGGCCTTGTGATAAAGCATTAAACGCTGTGTATTGCGTGAATAGATAACTCTATACATAAAATGCCTATAAAATGAAATAATAACTCTATAGATATTTTTAAATGGTATTATAATGAAGTAACAAGGATTTATTTTAAATTTTAAAGGTATATTTAATATATATTTTTAATAATATATATATTTAATATATTTTATATATATATATATATATATATATATATATATATATATATATATATATATATATATATATATATATATATATATATATATATATATATATATATATATATATATATATATATTTAATAAGTAGTTAATGTAAAAAACTGCACACCATTGTTAAAAAATTTTAAATTACAAATTTATAAATATGCCCCTTATTTATAAATAAAAAAAAAATTCAAATAAAAAAATAAAGTTTGAACATTTATAAACTCTCTGAGGTTCCTACGGCTGTATGTATTCTACTAAAATAACTGGTTTTTGAGTCTGGAGACAAATGATAAATGATAAATGTAACAAGTATATGTATTGCAAAAAAAAAAAGATAAATGATAATGATGTGAATGCAAAAAAAAAAAAGATAAATAATAATGATGCAAATGCAAAAAAAAAAAGATAAATGATAATGATGCAAATGCCAAAAAAGAAAAAAAGATAAATGATAATGATGTGAATGCAAAAAAAAAAAGATAAATTATAATGGCGCAAATGCAAAAAAAAAAAAAGATAATTGATAATGATGCGAATGCAAAAAAAAAAAGATAAATAATAATGATGCCAATGCAAAAAAAAAAAAAGATAAATGATAATGATGTGAATGCAAATTATAAATATTAATGTAACAAGTATATGTATTCTTTTAAAGTACTAAATTTAAAAAATCTTTTAAAATACTAAATTTGAAAATAAAAACATTAAATTATTCATTTTTTAAAACTTTTTTTTATTAAAATTTATTTCCTATTTTGTTAGTCTTGCTTTCTTCTTTTTTAAAACTTTGTTTTTTCTACAAAGTGTTGAAACATTTAATATATAAAAAACTTGCAAATGACTGTGACCAAGTTGTCTAAAAAAAAAAACGTGGATATACGCAACAAAAAACTGCACACGCCTCCTGGAAAGGCTTGACTTTTTCAGGTACTGGTAATACAGTGACAACATAAAACATTACTTTAAGCATAAAACATAACTTTAAAAAACTTAATTTTTAACTTTTTTTTTTTTTAAATTTTAATTCACCTTTTAATAAAACAAGCATATATCAATCATTTTGTAATTTAAAAAAATGACAAAACATGATTGTGTCATGTGATATAATAATGTTTGACTAGCAGTAAGCAACCCGTAATACGCATTGTTAGTAAAATAAAATTAAAAAAAAAAATCGCGCATAGAAAAGCCTAGAAACTACTTTAAAATAGAAAAGCCTAGAAAATGACGTAACTTGACTAATAATAATAATATTAAATTAGCGTATTCATATTATCAGATTATGTCATTTAATATAAAAAATGAATCTCAAGTTCGCTGACTTTTCTTTATTTAAATATCAATGTATGCTTAAAAACCTAAAAAACAAAAATGCGCATTTTAACCACTTTTGTCTTTAAGTTTGTTATTGTTTATTTATTATTTACATTTTTTTATTGTAGATAAATTTCATAATTCATGATAAAACGAGATGAAAAGATGCATTTTTCAACTATTGAAGAAAACCACAATAAATTCGAATAAATTCCACAATATAATTGAACAATAAATTGAAGTAAAAAAGATAAAAGTTAAAAATAAAAGTTATTATGCAATAATTTTTTATCAGATAAATAAATTTATATTTTATCAATATAATTTAGAGTGTAATATTTTTATATTTATCAAATAGTCCATTCTAATCAAAAACATTTGAAATATTATAGTATATTATATTATTCTAAATTATATTGATAAAATATAAATTACAGTGTAAATTATATTATTTTTTTGCAACAACTGTACCTTTTAAAATGGCATTGCAGTTTATTATGCAGTAAATTTTTTTTTATTATTATTATTAAAATGACAGGGTTTTTCATTTTAGTTACAACCATAATTATACTTATAGAGAAAAAACTATATCTTCGTAAGAGCCTTAAATTGCTCCCTTTAACCTTTTTAGGGGAGTGTGATAGTATTGGGGGCACGATAAAATAAATAACTGCACAAGCCAATTTAAAAAAGAGAGAGACTGAACAGATTTTAGATGTAGACAAGCTGTTTTAATTTTGTGTAACCAATATAAAAACGTTCAATTCATTTTGGTTTATAAAACAGAAATGACGCTTGATCATCATTACAACCAAGGTTTATGGGAAGAATCTTATCAGTAACAAGATGCTTCCACCATTTTATACTAATTAATAAATATACAATTTCTTTTAAAAGGAGAAGTCAACAAACTGATGTTCAGATATTTAATCTTGGGGCGATTCCATGTGAAAACACCCAAGGCATGCAACTTTAAGTCTTATATTTTGCTGATTTTTAAAGCACTTAAAGATTTTAGTAAATTATGAACATCCTGAAAATTTTATCGTCTAATTTCAATTGGTTCCTAAGATATAGCTGTTTTAAGTTTGCCAATTAACAAAAATCCGCCATTTTTAAAAATGGTTTTAGTCCTAGTTTCTCTTATATGTGTGTTGGGAAGCTAAAAATTTGTACCTTTACATATTTTGGGCCAACAAATCCAATGAAACAAACTAAAATATTTAAAAACAAGCGTAACACCTAAAATTTAAACCTTTATCACAATTTTACTGGGACGAGTCCAATCAAAAAAATGCTGATGTAGCTCGATTTTTTTTTTCTTTTTAGAAGTTGTCCTGAATAGTTAAGTTATTACAAAGTTATTACAGTTGTAATAATAGTTATAGTTATTACAAAGAATTAAAGAGTGGTCTTTTTTAAAACAGAATTAAAAACATGGTCAAATCTACTTAAATTTATTGTTTAAAAAACAGGTATTTTGATAAATTAAACAAGAAAAAAAATGTGGTAATTTGACAGTTTTGTAACTGAAACAGTTTTGGCTACATCAAACTGTTCTTTGTTTTGGCTATATCAAACTGTTCTTTGTTTACTAGCTGTTTCTGTTTTTTTTGTACTTTTATTATTTAAAAATGTTTATAACGTTGTAAAATTAAAGTTAAAATGTTTACTAATTAAGTTAAAATTTCTTATTCTGAACAACCTTGACCCCATAAAAAGTCCCAGTAAAATTGTGATAAAGGTTTATATTTTAGGTGTTACGTTCGTTTTTAAATATTTTAAGTTGTTTCATTGAATTTGTACCAAAATATGTAAAAGTACAAATTTTCAGTGTTCCAACACACATATAAGAGAAACTAGGACCAAAACCATTTTTAAAAATGGCAGACTTTTGTTGGTTGGAGGCAAACTTAAAACAGCTATATCTTAGGAACCAATTGAAATTAGACATTAAAATTTTCAGGATGTTCATAATTTTTATTGGCCTGCACAGAAAGATATGTGTTGGGTCCCATTAAATCACATTTTATGTATCATTGATCCGCCATCTACAACAAATGGTTGTATATATATAAAACAGAAAGTGAGTTAGATAAAATTGAACAAAATAAAGATTTATAGAAAAAATTTATAATGCATTATCATCTGATACTTGAACGTTATTTTTTCAAAGTAAGTTAAGATATAACTTTATGTGAGTATGTGTAACTGTATCTGTAATTGGCACAATTTGGCTACTCAAAAAAATTAACCTAGTCACTTGTCTTTATGTTTTAAGCAACAATAAAAAAAAAATATTAAAAACAGGAAGCTGGGTTGATAAAATGCCTAATTGCCCCCCCTCCCCTTAAGACAAAGACTATAATAATAATATTTTACAACAAAATTAGGATATAGTTAATTTTTTCATAAATAAGTAAGCAATAAATTTTATACTGACTCAACATATATATATATATATGCTTTACTTAAAAAGTTGTATTTAGAAAAGTCGAAAAATGGAGTAATATATTTTTTATTAATAGTTGTTTTTTTTGTGTTTTTTTTAACATCTTTGCTTCCAACAACAGGGGTGTGCTAGCTCCAAAAGGTACATGCAGTATTTTTTCAAAAAGACCAGTATATGCCGGATTTCGCAAAATAAGCTTGACTTGAAGGTCCACACTTTTATATATTATTTTATATATTATAAAAATAGTCATCTTGGGCAGGTGTTAAATGCATTCAGCTCCTATCTTATAAAAGGCCTCCTAGGCAAACACTTAAGGGGTAAACAGATTTT